CCAATCAAGGCCAAATAATTCTTCAATCCGTTCGTCACTCCGTTATAATCGCTGATAGCACCGCAAAGCGCGATCCTCGCATGTTTCCTCAAGCATCCCAGCAACAGGTCCAACTGCGCTCCTCCCACATTGTCAAAGACGCAATGCGCAAACTTGTGCTTCCTGACGATGCAGTTTCGCAAATCTTGAAAGAAGGTGGGTGAGCGATAAGAAAAGGCATCGTCGGCGCCCAATTCCTCCTTCAGCCACTTGACCTTGTCATCTGATCCCGCAGTGGCGATGACCGTGCAGCCCTGCAGAGCGAGAAGGAGAGAGAGAGACTCAGATCGCTCTACACCGTGTATGCTTGCTTGATGTCCGAGCATGCCATGCTCACCTTGATCTTGGCCAGCTGTACCACGATGCTTCCAACACTTCCAGCTGCACCAGTCACCACGACGACGTCTCCCTGCTTAGCCTTGGCAACTTCAAACAAGCCCTGTACAATTGGCAGTAGAGCGAATTCGTACCCTTAGCAGTGTAGCCGGCGCGGGAGAGCTTCTGCCAAAGGGGACCCAACGTTGCCCATCGTACGAGGCGCACAATGCCCAAACTCACAAAGTAAGCGGTCAATCCCGAACTGCCAAAGACGCCCAGGTAATCGATCAGTTCGGCTCCCTTTTTAGCGGGCGCAGCTTCGACCAATTTGGCCGGAAGAATGGCGTACTGTTGCCAGCCCGTAGAAGCGGCAATGGGATCGCCCACGGTGAAAGAGGGTGACTTGGAGTGCACAATCTCTCCTAATGCTGCGCATCTAAAGACTGCGCACGCGCAGCAGCAAAAGAGTCGCGAGAGAGGTGAAGCGTAGAGGGTGCAGACGATGAGCAAGGCACAACACACCCATCTGGTAGAAGCAGGAGCTAAAGCGAGCACTCACCATCACCGATCTTTGCCGGTGGCAAGTAGCTTCGAGTATCGTTGAGCCTGTTTGCATGTCAAAAGTGCAGCATGTACGCGCCACCCCCGATCCATCAGCTGCTGCCCAATGACACGATTACGCACAGCATGGCACATTCGCTCGCCGCTCACCATCCGCGCATGGCCGGATCGATGGATACATATTTGACCTTGATCAGCACCGATCCATCAGGCACATCCTTCTCTGTGGGTATGGGTGATTTCTGAAGTGCAAAGGTGCCCGACTCTAACGAAGGATTGACGGTTCCTTGAATGCCTGGACGCTCCCGAAGGATGATCTGGGTGTTCTGAGACATGATTCGATGGCTGTGTGTGGGAGAGGGACACTTGGGATGGGATGTTGTTCAGGAGGGGGGCAAGGGAAGAGAAAGCGTAGCGTAGCGTAGCGAGGAAGAGGAGATGCGTGGACACACACTGTTTGAGCGAATTTATGGCTGATGCGATTGCATTCTGCTCGTTGCTCGTCTGGGGTGTTTGAGGTGGTTTGGTT